AGTCTGGCGCCTCCTTTCGGAACGGGTAGCATCTCCGTTGCTGACCGGTATTCTATCGTCGTTTGTCGATTTGAGTCAGCCGTTGTTGTGCTGCTACTCTCCCTGGTAGAAGGCGATGAGCATTTTCTGATCGACGACTTTTCGCAGTCTACTTTAGTCTCCATTCAGCCTGCGTGGCTCTTTTTTACCCGAGCGTCGATCAGGCGGCATAATTTTCGATGACGTCAATACCATGAAACGGAGGGAACGGAATTTTAGGGAGACTTCGCAGTGGTCGCCACACCTCCGTCTTTCTCATCATCATTAATTAATAATTTTTTGCCATTTCCATGCGGTATCAAAATATTTGAAACATTAGTCTAATTGTTTTTAGCCTTTAGCAGCGTTGCCGGCGTTGTTGCGCCTTCAGCTGCTGAAAGCCGTGAGGCAGCTTTTGATTGGAGATTTCTCGCAGTATTCTTGAATTTTCAATAAGCATGCGCGACCCTTGATAACTCGGGTGACAATTGAGCCGGTATAGCGTTGGATAACCAGTGCCATGAATGACAGTTGGCTAAGTTGCACTAGAGACTTGGACTTGAGGTCGGAAACTAGATGCAAATAAGTAGTCTTAAGTGATTAATTGTACGTTCAAAATGAACATTGTGATCATGATACAAAGTGAAGCATGATTTATAAAAACAAATATTATAGAATTTTAAAGCATCTTACATAATGTTTCTTAAACTTACGTTTAAAACTTTGCTTGTTTAAAGCTTCAGAAGTGATTTGAATGGCTTGAGTTGCCTTGAAATTTTTGAATCCTTCTTCCCGCCATAGCCATACTACTTGCTGTACTTGCAAATCAAAATTTCTGTACCAGTGACCGTATACCAACTGATGCGGATCCATTAATCGCAGTATTCGTATTGTTACTTGACAAAGTTAGGCGGCGTTAAGTCAAATCTGTACTTCATGCGATAATGCTTGAATGAACTGTGAAAGCGCATACTTGCTAGCCGGCGTTCGTGGCGATTCTACTAGTATTTGGATCCTTTTCGAACTAAAAATTGTTTCTGAAGAATTCGTTGTCGGTCTCAGAACCGGCGCTTAATTGTCGTAGGAACGAAAGCCTTGTTTTTCTGCTATTAGTTTCTTCTACTAGCCTTGTGACATGACTGACCGCTTAGTACAGCTGTCGACATTGTTTCGTACGAAGAAGTGGATATCGTCCCTGAAGAGTACCGATTCGGAAACCATGGGCTCCAATGATGAAAGTGTCCTTAACGCTTCATCTGTCAACTACGACAGCCAGAGGATGCGTACCTCGAACGGTGGCGAATGGGGATCTTGTATTGGCGAGACTCTTTCGCCCATCAGTGACCTGACTTTCCACCTCACCAAGCAGAGGTAAACGTGCGTTTAAAAAAAACGAGGTTTCTTAAATAACTGTCTCTATGAAGCATCGAATCGGATTCGGCGCACACTACCCCGCGACGGCGCTTGTCCCTAAACACCACGACGGAAAGCGACACT